AAAAACCCCAACCATGGAGGGCATGACCTAGTGATGACACGGTTCCTTTAGCAATGGCATTACCAACAGGCAGGAACAGGAGGAATGTAGGTGCTTTCATAAGAAAATATTTTCTCCCCACCCAAAGGAGACCATTTGCAGTGGAAGATGCTATCTGCTCAGCTGCAAAAATGTGCTGGTGCCCTCCACGGAGACGCACAGAGGCATGAACCAGACTGAAGATAAAAAAAAAATACTTTTTCAGAGTTTGGGCTGCCTCTCTGTGCCTGGGCTCCTGCGGGGAGGACACCCTGCTCCCTGGCTACCTCCGCAGGGACCTGCTGCGGGATGAGCCCTTTTGGCCCTCATCCTTGGATTTCGTTTCCCAGGGTTGAAAAGATGTTTCCCTACTGTGTTTTTTTTTCCTCACCTACACCTAAAAACAGGGCTAGATGCTTAAATTTAGGAGCGCAGCAAGAGGGGAGCCTGGTGGAGGACAAACCCACTGCCATCAGGTCCACGTGTGCTGTCCTGGGGTCACCACCTCCCCTAAAATGGATTGGTGACCCCTTGCACATCTCCCACTGGCGAGGAGGTGAAGAATCGCCTCTCCCATGGTGGCGTTTGCATAGATCGCAGGAGATGGAAAGGGTTTGGCAGCAGTATCACATGGTGCTCACCCACGAACACAGGCAGCACCGAGTTCAAGAGGTAGAAAACACTGCCCGACACATGGGCAAAGCAGAAAATTCTTGAACTGAAGTCCATGGTTTGCTGTGTTGCCTTGGGCAAGTTATTTTATCTTCTCATCCCTGTGGCCTCCTCCGAGCTGGCGGTGAAAAGCATTTCCCACTCCTCAGAGGGAATGTGGAACATCCAGAAGGGCATCGATGGAGGGGTGAATGATGCTCTGAAGACCAGCCCGTTGCTCGTACTCCTGCTCACACCTCTGCCTTTGCTTTTGCTTTGCAGAACCTGCGAGTCCGGAGCACAGGGGGGACAGAGTTTTTCACACGCTCGGCCACCAAGTTCAAAGGAGCTTTGGCCCAGAAGTTCATGTTTGTGGACGGGGACCGGGCCATGTGCGGATCCTACAGGTAATCAGTGGCATCTCCTCTTGCCCACCTACCATGGAGGTATTGGTCAAAGGACCAACACGGACCCATGTGGTCCAAGTCCCGTTCCCTGCCCAGCATGGCCCCAGGACCCCATCCCAGACTTGCTCCCCTCCTCCTAAACTAGGAGATGATTTTGCAAGGCCAGCCTGAGATCTGGAGTGGGACCCAAGGAATCCCCATCTCCCCACAGTTGGGTCTAGGACACCCCTCCTTCTCTGAGGTGGTGGGACACATCAGGTGCTTCTGCCAATGGATGTGATGAGCACAAGGAAAGACAAAAGCAGCAAACCACAGCCAGTCTTAGCTCTCATGTTGACCTTAACCTTTCCAGTTAAACACTTCCTACCCAAAGTATTTTCCAGTTTGTCCAAATGAAAACTTACTTGGGTAGAAATAGATCAGTCTCGGTAAGCTTTACGGCTCTAAAAGACAAGTTTCATAAACATGGAACTGAAACATTTCCTACTTTCTGGCCACAACAAAACACGCACCCATTTATGAGTTCCTTTTCTTAACTAACCCAAACTGAGAAAGGAAAAGCGGCCAACACTAAAGCAAAAAACTGGCCCACAGCAAATATCTTTTATTTTTACTTCAAGTTCCGGTGTGCTCGAGACTTCAACCCTTCATTCTAATTTGGGATGAGAGCTATTTCTTCAATCTCATTATTAGTGTTTACAGTGAGATCATGTTCCTGCTAGCACCATCAATCCCCTGGGGAAAGCCAGGGTTAGGGAGAGGCGTGTTATTTACCAGCAAGCACTCAAAGAGTTTCCAATGTGTTTCTGTTCCAGCTTCACCTGGTCCGCAGCAAGGACGGACCGAAACGTCATCACAGTACTCTCAGGTCAAGTGGTGGAGGCATTCGACAAGCAGTTCCAGGAGCTCTACCTCATGTCTAAGGGGGTGAGCCTCAAGTCCATCTCCATGGGTCCAGAGCCCGAACCTGAGCCCGTAACGCTGCCCTCTGTTGTGCCGGTGACCCCCGCCAACGCTGTGGTGAAGAAGCTGATAAACCCTAAATACGCTCTGGTGAAGGCCAAGAGTGCTGACCAGATCAGCAAGACCTCATCCGAGAATCAGGACAAAAACCAGAAGACAGACAACAAAGGCAAAGCCCTGCCCGAGGGCCAGGCAGGCGACAGGCACGGCGACGTGGCAGACCTCTCCCTGCTCATCCACCCCGGCCTCCTGAATCTGGAGAAAGCCAACATGTTTGACTATCTGCCCACCTGGGTTGAGCCCGACCCCGAGCCCGGGAGTGAAGTCTTGGGTTACATCAACATTATTGACCCCAAGATAAAGAATGTGAAGCTCTCGCAGATGAACCGCATCAAAGTCTGTGATGTCTCCCAGGCAAGTGCCCAGCACCGGCAGATGCTGAAGAACAGGGAGATGGAGACCAAGAAAAACTCAGACCAAGAGCCACCTCTGGTGTCCCCCTGCCAAAGACAGACCCCACAGACTCCCATGGAAACTCCTGCAGCCCCCACTACCAGCCCCATTGAAGGCACCAGCTGGACAATGAATCAAGCGGGAACATTTGCCACTTCACCACTGGGCCACCGCTTGAAGCCACCAGAGGAGACACTGGAGGACATCAAGCCCCCGGTTCCAAAGCCAAGGACCATCCCTGTTGGCGTACATGTGACCAAAGTCATTACAACCTGTGACAGCGGCACTGCCCTGGAGGGTGACACACCACCACCACTGGCAGACCATGTGGTTGTGAAGCAGGAACCAGAGGAGAACCCCAATGGAGCTTCAATGGAGACCTACCATCTCCAGCCAGATCGGCCGGTAGAAGGGCCACAGGAGGACAGAGGGCCTCCCTGTGCCCACAATGGGCTGGGAGAAGAGGAGGAGGAGGAGGAAGAGGAGTACATCACTCTCAGTGACCAGGAGAGCTACTCCAGCAGCTCTGCTGACCACAGCTACCGCCGCTCCAATGCCTCCTCCATTTCAGATGAGTACTTTGAGGTGAGGGATCGCTATGGGCCCCTCCGGCGAACCAACTCAGACGTCACCCACAATGGGGAGATCCTTCCCATACAGAGGAAGCTCAGTGACCCTCACATCAGCCGGGGCACCTTCCTCAGCCCCCTGGGGAGCCTCCCGTCCCTGAAGCATGTCCGTGTGGAGGACATGACGAAGAGGAGGAGCAATGCGGTGGAGATTAGGTGCGTGCTGCCCCGCACCATCCTGGATGGCAACAGCTCCTACCCCAGCAGTGCCGCACAGGTAGGACTTTTTGCTATAACCTTCCCTATGTTTCTCCACCCTACAAAGGTTGTAAACCTGGAGGTGACCCAGCCAGCTCAGCCAAGGCGTGGTGTCATCCCTAGCTTTGGTGTCGCGTCCTAGATGCTGAGATCAGACTTCCCATAGAGGAGAATAACGCCCTACACGCGGTGATGGTAGGAGTCAAGCAAGAGGTGCTCATGGTTGAGAAGGTGGTGGTCATGCCACAGCTCTTGGTGTCTAGGAGTGCAATGGGAATGGCTGGTAAAGGGGAGGTTTTTCGGAATTAACAATTATTCCATGTCATTGGGACAGAACCCAGCGGCTCCGGGCACAGCCGTATGTGTTCCATCCCACAGCCATCAGCAGTGGCATCATGCCCAGCCAGGGACAGACTGTGCGTGCAGGCGTGTCCTTCTCATGCTTGTTTTCTAGCTCCTTGCAAAGGTGATTAGCATCAAAGTAAAAGCACTCGGACACATAATTAGGCAGAGCAAGACAGCGGAGAAACAGGGACGGCAACCTCTGTGGGTGAACGTTGCAGTCAGCAACTTCGTGGCTGATCCACGAGTGACTCCAGACCTTGTCACCCCACGGGGTGCACGCCAGCATCCCCGCTGCTGGAGCAGGGTGTTGCAAACCAGCATTGCCACCATGGCAGGTGGATAACAGGATCAATCCCCTATTTCCACCCAAGCGCTGCAGCCTCCCCCACCCCCACCAAGCATTTGGGTTTCTCAGAGCTCCCCACCCACTCTTTTCAGGGCATTCAAACCCCCAGTGCTAAATCAGCAGCTGAAGTCACTGAAGCCACCTGAGGTTACCCCAGCTGAGCATCTAATCTGTGTTTACGGGGAATCAAATTTACTAGCACAGAGTCCACTTGCTTCTCCCTTCCCAGCCAGTGACACGGAGCTCAGAGTAAGGTTTTACCCCTCGCACCATCAGATATCCCCTCACACCTTGAGGAGCCACGCAGACCGAGGAGCGCCGAGCCCTTTGATGCTCTGTGACCCATGTCCCACGTGCCACCGTGCTCAGAGTGGCCAGGTACCCTGGTGTCCCTGCAATAACTTGTTCTGGCCCTTTGATGAAAGGTGGGTGGATGATTAAAGGCATCAGGGTTAGGAAAACCAGAGCTCAGCTGATGGAAATGTGCAGAGAACAGTTTCTCACATGCATAAAAATAATAAACCAAAGGAATCCTTTATTAAATCTCTAGAAACCTCGAATCAGACAGGAATCACCATCAGCCTCCACCAAATATTTTCATTCTGGGTCCACATTTCTTACGGGCTGGCACGTAGCCCAGTGTAGCCCAAAACGCAGGCGGAGGCTCACTCAGGGCAAACATCATGTTTTCCATCACATTGAGAACACAGCACTCAAGTTACCCCTGGAGCATTGCCTTGCCTAAATACATACAACCCCGTCCACACCCGGCTGCACGGTTAATAGAGGACAGTAGCATTGGCTGACGCACGGCAGGCACAAGGAGAGCATGAGGGACACTCAGGTCCTCTCCTGTCCCTCTCCCTCCTGCAGAGCCCCCAGCTCTGTGCAGAGCAGAGGTTTCCAGACACGTCCCCCTCCCATTCATTGCGTAGTAACAGGCAAAATACCCACCCTGCCCCTTCCACATCCACATGGCGGGGCACTTACCTGGGTACAGGACCCTGCTGATCATCCCTGGCATGATGATAACGAACAACGGCAGCATCTTCAGGTAGCTGGCCAAGATGGAACCGGCCTTGGCGTGACTCAGGTTCTTGGCAGAGAGTGACCGCTGGACGATGACCTGTGGGAGAGCTGGGCTGGGTGGCTGAGCAGCCACTAACACCTCCTAGTCCACACCAGTGTCCTCCTTGCCAAACTGCATCCCGAGCATCCCCAAATGCTGGAGCCATTGGGCATCAGACCCAAACACAGCATAGATGTGTACCCAGCCCACAGGCTGGGTTTCTCTCCAGACCAGCAACGGGTTGGTGTTGTGCCATAGCACCGCAAAAGCCCAGTGCAACCACAGCAGAACATCCTCCTGCCCGTATCAACCATTCCCCACCACCACCACCCTCTCCCCTCTTGACCCTTCTATTCAATCTCCTCTCCAAAGAGTGCCCACAATAAAAGGGACACTGAGTCCAGCCTCCTTCTACCACAACTCTACTACCCACACTACTCAAACCAGCACACCTCAAAGCTCTGGCCAAGCCATGTCCATCCATGATACAGCAGGCCCTTGGGCTTTGAGGTAATCTCTCTTAAATAGGCAACATCCATAAGAAATGCTGACTTTGAAAGAGCCCAGACTTTTTCCCAAGGACTTGCAGAGAAGTGCTCAGCATCCAGCAGGATTTGGCTGCTCCTGAGCAAGCACTGGCTCATGGCATGGTGGGCAGGAGAGACCAGGTGGCGGTTCCTGGGGTGGGATGCTCAGGGAAGCTGTGGTTTAACTTCTGCCCAAAAGCCAGAACACATCAGGAGCTGCAGGACCCACCACTCAGCTCAGTCACCATGTGCACCACATCGGGCACATGATGACCTTGAAGGGAGAGGAGCTAGATCACCCTTAGTCCTCCCCATCTGAAGACATCTCACACCTTAGCACTGATTTTAAGCAATATAATTAAATCAACCTAGCATTATCTAAGCTAAACTGTTTTAATGCAGCCCTCCTGGTCAAAGCAGGAGGTCTCTGCCTGAGGACCAGAGAGGGCATTGGGATATTCGGAGTAAATGACTGAACACTAAGATGATGCCAACAGCACGGTGAAGATGCAGTGCTGGTGGCACAGCGGGGATCACGGCAGAGGGAGGGCAGGTTGGTGCAGCCGGCTCCGCAGCCTCCCAACCCCAGATCGTCCTGCCATCAGCACCTGCACTCACTAGATCCAATCTCGCCCTGGTATGTCTGCACGGGGTGCAATCGCACCTCCAGATTGCGGCGCAGACACACCCAAAGAGGAAGATAAATATCTGGTGACCACAGCCGCGCGTTAAGGCTTTACCCAGTCCAGAATTAAGATTAATGGTGCTCAAACCTGACCCGAACGTGTCTCTCAACCCAGATAATCAGAGCCACCTCCACAGGGGTGTTGCAGCTCACTTTTGCCTCCTGGTCCCACCTCCTCTTCCAGCCCTCCATCCTTTCATCTAACCTTGGTAGCCACCTAATCTCACAAGTTGGGTCTAGGCGACTGAATGCTCTTTGGGCCTGAAATGAGCACTTAGATGATTAAGATGGGCATTCAGGCTGCAGCTAGAGAAAAGACATTGAGATTCCACTGGCATCCTTGGCCCTGAATCTCCAGGCGGCCCTTACTTGGCTCGGGACAGCCTCTGTGCTGCCGGGGCTGCTCAGGAAACTGCTGTTGAGATGCTGCAATGTGCAGGACAGTGTGTTGTCAGACCAAGAAATCAGAGGAGCAGCAATGGTTAAGACTTGAGGCAGTTTTGAGCTGCCACCATGTCTCAGAAGAATTTGGGCAAGGGACACACCAAGTGGCAGACTTGTCCGTGAGGACCAAGTCCACAGCACAAACGCGTGAAGGGGTGTCCATGCAGGGGAACAGCATCCTCATAGCAGCAGTAGCTCATCTCTTTTTCTGCTCTTTAACAAACAGGGGACACACATCTACCGCTACCGACCCAGGAACCCCGCGGGCAGAGAACAAGGCAAGGAGGTCTCCTGCTCCCCGACACATGAGAAACCTCCCGGGGCCACCAAATACAGAGGGGATGGAGCCGAACCCAAAAAGACCATTGCAGGCAGTCAGCCCTACTGGCAGAACAAAGTCTTCAGCCCCAGCAAGCCCACGCAGCCCAGCCACCTCTCACCAAGCAACCCCAGAGCATCAAGCAAACGCTTAACCTCCCTGCCAGAAAGCCAAAAGACAACTGAGGAGATGAGGACACCCCTCGGCATCCCGCTCTCCAAACTGTCCCAGTCCAAGCACCTCAAGAACAGGGTTGCAGGAGCCCCAGGTGCTTCTATTGACTCCAAAAAGAAGCCCCCCGAGACCACCAGCCAGAAGGACCACTAGGTGCTGATGCAGGTGGACTTCCAGGGCGAAGCAGTGGTAGCAGAGCGTGCCTGGACACCAGGCAACGCCGCGTTACATGGGGCAGGGGAATCTTGTTTACATTTACCTGGTCGGTGCACCAGTACCACGTGGCCATGATAGACAGCCCAAAAGTCATCCCGGTCCAGGGCAGATCTCCAGAGACTGGGTCTCGGAAGAGGTGCATTGCATCCGCTCTGGGCAGGTGGCAGGTAGTGTTGGGAACAATCTTGGATGGCACAGCTTTTAAATAGGCCTCTTCCAGGTTGGGGTATCCTCCGATCTCATTAAAAGCTGGAAGGCATCGTTGGGGGAGGCTGGTTAGAGTCAAGCAAAACCTGGTGGCCTCTGAGATCAGCTGGCAAAACATTTGCCAACTCGTTAACTCAGAAGTGCTACCCAGAGAGGGAGGGCTTCTTCCTGTTTGTGTTTTCTTCTAGATATTTAAGAGACTCTTCTGTTAGTATTTTGCACAGCAGGTCCCATTACAGTCCACCCTGACTTTGGAGGGTGACCCGTGTTCTGGGACAAAGGCTCCTCAAGGGACCCACCTCTTCTGACCTCGTACTGTAAAAGCAACCTGTTTGTTAAAGCTCCCCAGTCCCAGAGCAGGGGAAACTCGCCTAGGACTATTAAAATGCAAGATTAGGTAGCCTTTGACTTGATATACTACAGTGCCTTGGCACAAGTCTCCGGCCAAATATTTTCTACCCCTCTGAGCGCTTCCCCATCACCCCCCTCACAGGTCCATCCCCAAACCTCCAGCAACCGGTGGGATTAAAAAAAAAAAAAACAAAAAACCAAAAGGATAAAGAAAAAAGAATACCCTCTTCACTGTATTTTTCCTAGGGAAAGGGATCTAAGGTCAGGCCTTAGCCTGAGCCCCGCTGGGGAGTACGTGCCATGATCAAGCCCTAGCAAGCGAGCCTCCCAGCCCTTGGCGGCTGCCTTGGCTCTCCTCCCGCCCGCGCCGCAGCCACCAGCCCCCAGCAGCGGCTGCCAACCAGCCCTGGGCTCTGCCCTGGCCCCCCACCGCCTCCCCGCTCCGGGGGGGCACAGGCTGAACGCTCCTTGCAGCTCTCCCCGTACCTCCAGCAGGAGAATTTTGGAGCCAGAGGCACTGCTTTTTGGAGGAGGGAAGGGGGGGGAGGCACCTGCCTCTCTCCCCCCACGTGCCACGGCCACCCACACAGCAGCCGTGGAGGAGATAAGCAGAGGGGGGTGCGTTGGCACCTCCATGCCCACAGCAGCTGCTGATGCTCGGGAGAGGAGGACCCCCATCGGGCTCATAGAGGGGACACTCAAAGCCAGACTTACAAGCATCCCTTGGTGGATTCACCCCGGAGTCTGGTCCAGCTCTCACATCCCAGCATCCCTTCCACCCCCACCCGCGGGCTGTGGTCCGGACCCTCAGCTCAGTCCCCTCCAATGCACCAGTGTGGGGTGGGAACGGGCTCCTGAGAAGTCACCCTCCTGCAGGACCGTGCCCACGAGCACTGCTCTCTTTAGACCAAGAGCAAATCCCTCAGGCGTCGGGTGGTGGATGCTGGGATCGCCATCAAGAGCCAGCTTGAGCAAATCCCAATTTCCAAGACACCCACCCTGCTCCATCATCCCCTCCTGCCCGAGGACAGCCCTCTCCCTGCAGCCCTGCTGTTCCCGATACCGACCTGCAGCCCTGTCCCCATCCCAGGGACATCCCACTGACCTGAGGCTTTTGGGGAGTTCGCAAAGGAGCATCATCCACTGTGCCCCCCACCTCAGCTTTGCAAACCGGCCCCCCGTATTTCACGGGAAATCAACACTTGTAAACTCCTCCTGCTCTTGTGCAAGCAGCCCTGGCCACCCTCCAGCGCTTGGTTTATCCAGGCAGTGGCTACTCCCAAGCTTTGCATGGGCGTTGAGCATCAACAAAGGCTCTCCAGAGGCAGAGGCTGAAAGCAGAGATTCGCACCCCGGGGTGCGGGCTTGCTGCCTTCCCAAAGGTGTTCACCGGCAAGTCATGACACCTACTCTTGCTGGGACAGGAGAGCAGGGCAAAAACTTCAGGGCAGCGGGAGCTCAGCCTGCAGACACTGGACTGCAGCCCGTGGGCTCCGCTGGGATTAACGTCCCCACTGTGAACGCTGAGTAGGGCGCAGGATGGCACGGTCTCTTATCCATGATGCCAGAGCCAAGCAGAGCCACCACCGGCACCACCACCCACTGAAACAGCCACTAAGCTCTCTGTTAATTGCAGTGATTTATCTACAACCCTTCAGTCTGCACCCGCTTGTCATCTGACTTGAGACTGCTCTGCCCAGCATCGTACTCAGGAGGATTTGCACAACCCTCCTGCTCTCCTTTGGGACACGCGACCTTGAAGCCAAGCAATACACGTTTCGGTCCCTTCAGCAGCAGCAGGGGTGGCAATGGTCTGGGCAGAACGGACCCAGAGTGGTCGCAGCTTCACAGATGGGCGTTAGCATCACTGCTGCGGCTGTCACGGTATGAGGATAGGGACAAGATAAAACACGGAGAGCATCCTTTATTAGAGCTTCACAAGAGCTGGAGAAAACCGAGCACCCTCGAGGAATACCAGCCTCCAGGTCCTTGGGTCTCCCAAGACCTGAGTCAAAAAACCGTGTGACCAGCAGCTTGTCTTTCAGCTCCCCTGCATCCCTCCCTCTCCCCAGCACTCTCACCTCCCTGCACACGCCGTGCCAGGATTTGCAGGTTGGCAAAGCCAAAAAAAAAGCTGGGCTCTGCCATCTCTGGAGGGGGTTTTCCAGACCTTGCCTGCCTGCCCTCCTACCCTGGCTCTGCGTTGCGGCACCCAGCCCAGTTTACCAGACACCAGCCTGAGAGAGCTCCGTGGACAACTACAGCTTCAGACAACCATCAGCAACGTCCAAGCACCTCGTCTGGCACAAAGGCTGCAGCCACCGCTCAGATCTGCTTGGACAGGCACCATGCTCCTCTGCCTGGTGCAGTTCCTGCTGGCTTATTTGGTATCATTGTTACGGAAGTATCTGTCCTTTCATTTGGTTTCTGTCAATACACTTTGCTGTGGACAAGGCTCGTCCAGGAGCAAGCTCTGCTTTTGCACAGAGGAGCAGCCGCGGGACCGGGCTGGCTGCAGGTCTGGAGCTGCTCCCACCTCCACAGCAGAGCTCTGGTGCAGCGTTGGGTCCAAGCCTTTCCTACCCACCCGCCTAAGCAGACTTCTCCAGGAGATGGTGGAAATCATCTCAGGAGTGCCTCCGGAAATCGTCCTCTGTAGTTAAACGCCTGCCTTTGAAGCCGGGACCTGACTTTTTGCCTCCTACTCCTCAGGGCCAAGAGCCCCGATGGCAGAACACGGCTGATGAAAGTTCCCAGCCTCACAAGGGTGCTCTGCGGCTAAACATACGGAGACACAACAGCGCTGAGTGTTCAGAAAGGGCTGGTGATGAACCGCGCTCGCTCCAACCAGGAGGAAGGCACGGCACCATGGTCTGCGTCCCCAGGCAATGCCCTGCAGCGGTGCCTCCACCCGGCACCGCCTTCTGCCATGCACGTCCCCGTGCGGTGGAATCCTGTCTGAAGACCCCGCTGCAACGCTGCTACGAGTTTCCCAGAGCAAAACTGGAAATGCTGCTTCGTTGTCAAACGCTTGATCGGTCTCTCAGAACGCACGGACTAGAGGCAAACATGCGGAGCAGTGATCACCACAGGAAGGTCACCGGTGCTGGGGACAGCCCCACATGAAGGACTAGGGGGATGCTTCATGGCATCTTCACCCAGAGGAACGGCACGTAGGGGAAGAAGAATGGCAGAGGGGACACAGTGGGACCACAGACTTTCTTTAGGCGATTGCTATAGGCCAAAGTCCTGCTGGGCGTCTTGGCCACTGGACTGCTCAGACTGAGTCTTTTTATTTATTTCCAAGACCACCCAAATGGGGGCAGAATGTCCCCATGGAAGGAGGATCTACGCTGTCCCAGCTCTCACCTTTCACCGCCAGCAGGATGGCTCCAAGGACCATGATGAGTGTCTGCAGCGCGTCGGTGTAGATGACAGCTGCCAGCCCCCCTGCACAAGAGCAAAGCACAGCGTCGGGAGTGCCACCGGCTTCGGGCTCGGTCGGGAAGTCCCAATAAAGCTGCCCGCGCTCACAGGGACGTGCCTGTCACCAGCCTCGTCCTACCGACACCGCGGTGATGGGGGGCGGCAGCGGGAGCATGAAGGGGGAACAGCCCCTCCGTGGGTCCCCTGCAGATGGGGTGGGAGGAGCAGCCGATAGCCATGGGGGCTGTGATCCCACCTGGGGCTGGGAAGGGGATCCAAGGGATGACGGGATCAGGGAGATGTGGCCTCGTGTCCCCATGCAGTCAGGAGGATGCTGGCCAGCCCCAGCCACTTTTTGGGTGCCCCAGCAAACAGACGCATCCAGGGCATTGATCTCATCATCCATCCCACCTCTCCCTAACGCCATACCAGTCTTCCCCCTTCGTACACTCCTTCCAACCCTCCAGTTTTATTTTTCCAGCACCTGACAGGTAGCAGGGTCCCCCTTGGCCAGCCAGCAGCATTTCTCCCTTCCCATCCCAAAATCTCCCTACAGACCTGTTGCCAACCCAGGACCCGCTTATCTAGCCAGAAAACAATTACTCAGCAGATGAACAAAAGCATTAAAAAGTAGCGGAGCTAGAGAAAAATGGGTCAAAAATTGAACCAGTTTCAACCCCAGTCACAGACTCACATCCCGGGAATTCAGGGCTGCGCCCTCCCTGGGATATGGAGGGATGTTCTCAGGATGAGGGTGACGCAGCGCTCACACCCTCTGCCTGAGCTCACGCCGAAATGCCTTACTTCACAACAAGCCTTGTGGGCAGGAAAAAAAAACGGAGATGGGATTTGCTTAAAACCAAAGTCTTGCAAAATCCACCATGTTTCGGATAGACTTAAACTGTTTCCCGTTTTGATGGCTGGGACGAGATAGCGAGGGAGAATTTACTGCTGAGTGTCTCCACTGGCACTACCAGGGGAGGGAACATCCCAGCCAAAATAATAACCGAAAGGGCTGGCAGGGATACATGGTCCTGCGGTCCGAGAGCAGGACTGCAAGCCAGGAACCCACAGTTTCCAACTGCAGCTCCAAACCCTCATCGCCTCCATAACACAAAAGAACCGCCTGGATTGGCCCTGCTCAAAAATAGCTGGTTCCATGATGGGGAGGCACAGGCCAGAAGTATTCCCGAAAGCTTTGCAGAGGGAGGGCAGCAAGTTGCATCGTGGGCAGGGCAAGCGGTAGGGAAATTAGTTGGGTAAAGGGATCTCAGATTGTAGATTCCATAGTAATAGTCCTGTAATAGGAGAAGCCCTGATTATTGCTGTTACAAACAGGTACACACACAAGAAAGCACTTAACTACATGATGGAGGAGGAGTTATTACAAATGAGAAGCTGTAATGACAAAGGAGAGGTCATGCACTGAGTCATTGCCTGAGCTGACGCTGAAGAAGGATGCTCAGATACTGGCTGGATAGGGCAGGGAATACGAACCCCATTAGTATAAATCCCCAAAGACCTTCCAGGAGTGGAAAAAAAAAATAATAAAACAAAATAAAAATAGGAGTGTAAGTGGTGTGGTTCAACCAAAGAAGAAAGATTGAGGCCAGGAGATGCTGAGCAACCTACCTGCGATGGTGTAGAGCCCCGTGACCACCAGCATCAGGACAGTGGAGAGGTAAAGGTCCCAGCCCAGGCAGACTTGCACGAAGAGGGCCCCCGAGTACAGGTCCGTCTGTGCGTGGAAGAAGAAACACAGGGTCTGGGACAAGTGACATCCACTTGGCTAGACAGCACCCAAGGGCTGCTGTAAGAGCGGCACGGCAGGGAAATAGTCAACACCCCCGGTACAGCAAGGGCATTGCTCTGGACGTGCCAAAAGGACACCTCCCAAAGCCAGCACTGGAGACTGGGGTCTCACGCAGGTGGCAATGTCACCGCTGCAGGTGGGTGTCACAGGCCACCTTTCCCCAGCCCCCCAAAGAGCGGAGCAGGCAGCTCCAGCAGTCATTTGCAACTGGGCCCAGCTGGATGCAGACAGTGGGATGTAAGGGCCAGAGAGGGATGCCTTGGGGATCAGTGCTGCCACCGCCTTTGAAACCAAAGCAGGGAGCTAGAGATGCTCAGCCCTTTACAGGATCAGACCTTGACCTGAGCTACCTTCGTGCTGCCCCGAGTACCTCCAGTTCCCTCCACCAATGGCAGTGCCCTGCTCTCCAGGTGGCATCTCACCATGGTTTCTGCAAAGCCCTGGAGATGGGGCACCTGGTACCAACTGAGGGGCTTCATTTCCCCAAAACACCAGCACCCTTGGGTGCTCCCTGGAGGCAGCCCAAGCCACCCCCACCCCCCCAACACAGCACACCTCTGCTTTTTCTGCACCCCAACAGCCCCCGCGGGGCCAATGCACGGGAGCGGCTGTAGCTGGTATTTCACGTTCTGCTTGGCAGGATTTGTCCTCCTGGCACCCATGCTGCCAGCAAGGAGGCTGCCAAGGACCCACTCCCTCCTCCCCCAGCTGCAGTTCAATGGTCTGGGCAGTCAGACCAGTCAGGAGGGCGGCAGCGAGCCTAAAAATGCTGCTGGGGGCAGGAGGGGATCTCCTCCCAGGTGCAGGGACTTTTCAAGACGCTTGCTGGTACGTGCAATGCCTTTAGTGCATTTTATGCAGTTTAATGCATTTTATTTAATGCAGTTCTGTGTCACATCACTCGAGCCCATCAGTGGTGCTCAGGTGGGTGCTGGTGGGGCAGGACGAGGCCCTGTGGCCCTGCTCCTTTGGGGCCACAGCAGCATTTCAACCTCGACAGCCACTCCACAGTGAGGAGCACACGTGGGCAGACCCAGCATGGAGCGCAAGACCTCCAGGACTGCCGTTCCTGAGCCTTGTCCCAACACCAAGCCACTTCTTTGTTGAGCATCTCCGGGAAAATATCTCCTCCTGGTTTTGCACAGATGGGGAAACCAAGGCATGGGCAAGTGGCAGAAGTTGCTTTTGGCCCCAAACAAGCAGCAGCAGCCCAGGGGTCCTGCACCCCAGTATGGAACAGCACAAGTGCATCCTCCAACACATCCCCTCTCACCTTTGCAGCCCCCCTTGTGAAGTCCCTGGAAGAGGCTTCAGGGTTTCTGCTTGGCCAGAGAAGGACGGACTGACTCCAACACACTGCCTCCACCAACCCCAGCATCTCCGGCACCTGTGTCACATCTCACGAGGACACCGGGAGCATGCCTCTGCCCAGAGGAGTGTGCGCAGGCCTGCGGCTCACTCAGCTGCTAGATTCCCTTGAGATAACTGACACCATTAAAGTGATCACCATTTCCCACCCGTGGGAGGGCTGGACCCACACAGGGAGGTCTGGTCACAGTCTCATGGAAATGAGACATAAAGCAGAAACTCAGAGTGACCTGGGGCACCTTCTCCAACAAAGCAGCGATGCCGCAGGAGGAAAGGACCAGGCACAGCAGGCAGTGCTCGTGCCACCACCACATCTCCACCCACAGCTGAGATCAAGCCATCCCCAGCACTCGGCTGGGGTATCTTCACAAAAACCTTGTTTGGAGAAGGAAACGAGGCCAGAAGGGGCAGGAAGAGGCAAGATGAGCTGACTCCACGCCCTCGCCTGGAGCCGTGATGGCTTCCCACAGCCAAGACATCAGCTCCGATTTGACATCTATTTTCACACACCTCCCAGAAACCATCCCCCAAACAACAGAGCTGTCTTGCCTGGTCATGCGGGAGCAGTCGCTTGGGATTAGTAACGTGGAGGACTGGTGTTATTTCCCATGTTGCACCTCCTTCCCCCAGCTCTGCCCTTCCTCCTCCCAGTGCTGCTCCAGCAAGTTTGCTGCACGGGAGCTGAGGACCATCATTGTGTGATGGAGGGGGGCTACGCAGGATCACACGATGGAAAAACAAAGGCACGTGCCACCTAGCAGGGCTCCATCAGCCATGAAATCCAGTAGGTGAGCACACATCCAGCTTCAGCACAACATGAAAGCCTGTTCCCTAGCAGATGAGGCCACACCGTTAGGCATAATGTTGATTAAATTACAAATCAAACCTACCAGAAGATCACTTACACCATGATCTTGAGGATCTCAATTCAGGGACTGTTCCACGACATCTGGACCAGACCTTACACCACAGTCATGTCTGGCATTCCCAAGGGAGGTACTACTTGTCCTCAACTGCACTTGGGCTTGGCCGTGTCTATGGGAGAGTTCTTGCCAGCACCAAGAGGCAATTCAGCCCTGGAATGTCCTG